CCAACTTTTAAAAACACAGTATAATCAACATTGATAAAAATTTTTATACTTAGAACTAGAAGATTTTCAAAGTCTTGTCTGGGAAAAGAAAGTCTTAATATGAACAATCTTAATTCGGTCCATTTGAGTCAATTTTATGCACGTTTGGTATATCCAACCGTAGAAATGATGAGCAGTATAGTTACGAGTATATCAGTATACAAGTGTATAATTTCATATTTTAGTCACTTTAACTGACAATTTTTTATAAAGCCGAGTTCAAGAATATTTAATTGTATTACAAAATCAGTGGTTACTTATCCTTGAATATATTACATGGATAAAATATTTGTCGGTTATTTATTTATGGTTTTGTTCCGTGTCAATACAATTTACTGACCTGAAGTGAATGAGACAAGAAAGGCGGTTTCGTTACGAACTTGCCAAACTCTAATCCTTGGTAGATCACAGTTTTAAATAAAAAAAATTGATTTACGTAAAAGCTTTTGGGATTTGTGGTTAGTTGTTTGTTTTAAATACATATTTTTTTATTTGAAACTGTTTCCTGTATTTATTTTGTAGTCTGTGACTGTCTTAAGTTACTTTAAAGGTATTAGGGGTTAATTCGAAGTAATTCTAAAAAACAAATACTAAAATTCTCATCAAATTAAGCCATATGTGCTCTTTTGTATCAAATATCTAGATAATGATTCCACAGATAAATCGAAGCATATATGTACATCACTTGATATGCGTTTTAGAAAAACGTTTAAAATTAGTTAATTTGAATGAGCTTTACTATTACAATAACGTAAAAGTACAATAGCTAATCATAAAAAAATTATTGTCTTTATTTGACATTACTAATTTATAAAATTGTTATAATAATGCATTAAATGGATTTTATCCACAATCACTTTATAATCGGACTTTTATCCACACATATGAACCGTCTAAAGCGATACTTTATCCTCTAGTGTAATAAAGTAACTTTATTTCACTACCAGAATAATTAAAAAATAATAAACATATAATAAATCAAGTTTAAGTCATTTACTTATTAAAATTAACATTTACATTTATAGTAATAGACATTTCGTTTTTTGTTTTATCACATTTAACTTCCTTTCCGTTAATAACAACGCTTGTAGCATTGTTGCCATCATTTTCGGAATGCATAACATCTGCCGAAGTTTGCACAAGTTACGGATGTCTCTTCTTGTAAGGGACAGCTATAATTTCCTTGGATTTTCCTTGCAATATCAACTTTGTTAGATATATACTCCTCAACATAACCACCAAGCCGTTTGATGGTTGTAAGATCAGCACCTTTATTGGCTAATAAAGTTGTTGAAGTGCGCCTCATACAATGGACTAGTTGTTCTGGATTTGCGATATTCGGGAATGAAGCAACTATTGAGGGTACCTTCGCCAATGTGTTGATTCCAACAGGCTGAGAAGTACATCTTTGAGATATTATGTGTGCCGTACAGGTCCAAGTAATTCCAACAAGATCGTATTTAAAATATATAATTAAAGACCCAACGATTCCAACATCAAATTGTCGACTGTGTGGTGAAACTAACGAAAACATTGAGCACATAATATGCAGTTGTAAAATACTTGCGCCAAAAGATTATACTGAGAGACATAACAACGTTGCTAAAATTATACATACCGAAATCGCAATGCAATTTAAGTGTTTAGAAGAGCGTACCATACTACAGATATACACCGAAGTCAATATTAGAAAATGACATTTGCAAAATATACTGGGACAGAGATTTACAGACAGATAGGTCTATCCCACATAATAGACCAGACATATGTGTTCTAAATAAAAAAGAGAACAAAATGCACCTTATCGATGTAGCCATCCCCGCACCTGTAAACATAAACAAAAAACACACGGAAAAGTACTTACCTCTGGCTCATGAAATGAAAGAAATCTGGGACCTTTGTGATGTAAAAATTATCCCGAACAACTTAAGAGGAATCTGGAGGAACTGCGACTCCCAATAAATTTACAGTTATCGTTGCAGAAATCCGTAATCCTCTCAACCTGCAACATAGTAAGAAAAGTATTAAATATAACAACCTGACAACAATAAGAAATTCAGATGTCTTGTCCGATACAGAACCGTCATCTGAAGATATCTACCGTTTAATCGTGAAAAAAACCGTATCAACATTGCAGCTTTTTTTACTTTATATCCTCTTGACTCATTCTTCAAATAAGAAGTAAGCTTAATATATTTTCCAATATTTATATTTTTGTAGACCTTCAACATCGAATACTTCGACCACATAGATGAAATTGCATATTTTTTCATCAAATTTAAAAAATATGATAGCATGACTTCTTCATTTATTGTCATTACTCTCCGTTCTTCCCTTCGTTCGTGAAATTCGGAGAACACTTTTTCGTAATGTTCTCTGGGTTTCGCTGGCAATAAATGGAAAATTGCTTCTTGAGTTTCTTCAAAAGTAGCTACTGGAACACAAATACTTCCTTGCATTTTTATCAAATTCAGATAGAACAGTAGACTTTATAAACTACTAGTATACTAGGTCTATGGATAGAACTGTTTATTAAATAATTGATAATAAACAATGTACCATAGCAACTAGTGCGTATAACAAAACCTACCACGTTTAATTGAGTACTAGTAGAAATATCAAGTCATAAGAATATATTTTTATTAAATTCCAATAATTTTGACTCCACAAATATGACTGTGATGTGATTATGGATAAAACGTTGTATTGCATTCGTGTTTTAATTGCCTTTTATCCAGTGGCGGTGCGTGAACATTGACTGAATGTGTTCTGCTTAGGGTTGTTACATTTGTTGAATTGAATTCCGGGATATTAAGTGCCCGGAGTTTCTAAATGGCGCCGCAGACAAAAAAAAAATTAAATTTTTCAAGGTCACGCGTTTTCCTGGCACTTCTGAATTTCAAGGAACAATGAATTTATAAAAAAATACAGATTTTCACAAGAATTTACCAACAATTCAACGAATTTTAATTTTCCTCGCCGTGTTATGATTTTTTCTTTATATTTTTATATATATATATGTCGGAGTCGTAGGGCTAACTTGGGCGTTAATATCACTACTCGTGTCAATCATCTTCACGAAATAATCAGTAATACCGTAAACGAAATGATATAAAATACAACGTTACAAATAAAGTACTCGAGGTGTTTCATGACAACAGCCAGAGGCTCGATAACGAATCCACGGTCAACAGAATAGCAATGTACTCACGTCTTCAATGCTCAAGTAGAACTCCCCTCCGTACCTCTCTCTGTACTTCTCTTTTATCGTCAGGTCAAAATTATTCTTAAATGAACCAATCAAATTCGTTATTTCCTAGGGATTCCCTTATAAAGTAATTATAAGGTAAATGCTTTCTATCTTCTGACCGCGGCTACGTTGAGTGACCCTTAAGTCTCCCCGAACCCAAGCTTGCCATCATAAAACTTGGGAATAACATAGCCGGCTTAATTCATAAATAACTATTTCTAAGTTTTATGGTCTAAGTACA